GGGATGATCCAGAGTGAGCTTAGTTCCCCATCCAGAAAATCCATTACCCTGCCCCCCAAATGAGATTTTGCCTAAGCATCCTCAAACCCAGTGGGCATCTTACCTGACCCTTTCTTCCTGTGTACCAATTGACCATTTCCCCTCCTTTTGCTCCCAATGCTTTGGTAGCCCCAGTGATAGATTATTGCACATATTTTTCCACATGTCAAATTTTTGAGTACAGGTTTTCTTTTGTTCATCTTAATGTTCCCTGTATCTGGCAGAGTCCATGGAAAGTGCAAAATAAATACTTTCCAAATTAATGAAAAGAGAAAAACTACTCTTATGTGCTAAGTCAGGAAAAGATGCAGGTCAGGCCTGGCACAGCTTTCATACTTGACCTTGATGTTACCAAACAATGACTATTCACAATATGTATTTTAATAAAAATTCCTGGGACAATATTTTGTTATGATAGTAAAATAGTCATCTGAAAATATTTTAAAAAAATTTTATTTACCTAATGTAATCCACTGTCCAGAATCTGAAAGTAACTTCAAATTGGGAATAACATTTGGGTCTTTGAAAAAAGCCTAAAATACAAATTTGAGGAAACAAGTTAGATACTTTATTATAAACAATAATAAGAATTAACTTCTAAAATAACTACAGTAAAATCTCAATTCAATTGGGGAAAGACAATTTTAAATCAATAAAATGTCTAAGTAATAAATGCTTTATAAAGAAGTGAAATTTTGTTACCTTCAAGTTGGAAGAGTTTGAACAACACTATGTCCAAGTATAGACATCTTTGATACTCAATTTAATAAATAGAAAATAATGATGTACAGTGAAAAGGAGGAGGCTATATAATGTTTTCCTTCTATCTTGCTTTCCCAATTAATTGTCTTAGTAATCACCACCACCCCTCCCCAACTAGATCTAAATCTAAAAGTGATTGTCAATTTAAATCTATGCAGGGAGCACCATAAGTAAGTCATAGATTTGACGTCCTAAAAAAGAAAGTTTTCCATATGGCAAAGGAAAATAAAGTAGTTGAATTTTAGTTTCAAGTACCAGCAGCTGACTCTGGCTGAAAAGTTCAGAAAAGAAACTTCATCAGGCAGTCCACATAATTTTCAGGAGGTGGAGAGAATCAGCTAACGGCTGGGCCCTGGGAACAACCCATAACCCTCTGTAGAACTGCCTGATGAAGAAACAAACAGTCATCCTTGCTGCAACCCCGTCAAGCACTAAAGGAAGCTTTCACCATCCCTTCTCCTCACTAAGGCCGCTCCTGCCAGGACTGCCCTGCCTGAGACCTGGACGCCTCTGCCACCACTGTTGCCAGTGAAATGGATTCTCTGTGCACCTCTTTCCTTAAGTTGCTCACTTTGAAATCTCAGGTCTTCACTGCTAAGTCCGATTGGTAAACCTGGACCCCAGGTTTGTGCTTGGAATGCAAAGGAGGCAAGTGTTTTGGGTTTCACTTTGTACTTCCTAAAAGTAAAATTACCCCCAAATCATATGTATGTTCAAAAGGTACTGGGCAGTCAGTAAAAATAATGTTATCTATGATAAGCAATAAAAGAAAAACAATAGATTGGGAGAAAAATATTTGCAACAAATATGATTTTTTTTTTAATCTTTGGCTGACATCCCCAATGGTTAAGATTTTCTTAAAAGGGGCTGATTGCCTGGCCAGCATGGCTCAGTGGTTGAGCACTGACCTATGAGCCAGGAGGTCACAATTTGATTCCCCGTCAGGGCACATGCCCAGGTTGCAGGCTCAATCCCCAATGTGGGGAGTGCAGGAGGTAGCTGATCAATGATTCTCTCATCACTAATGTTTCTAACTCGCTCTCCCTCTCCCTTCCTGTCTGAAATCAATAAAATATATTAAAAAAATAATAAATAAATAAAAAGGGGCTTTTTAAACTTGCCCAAAGGGCCCTGGCCTGTATAGCTCAGTTGGTTGGAGCTTCACCCTGTAGACCAAAAGGTTACGGGATCCCTGGTCGGGGTACGTGCAGGAGGCAACTGGTCAACGTTTCTCTCTCTCATCGCTGTTTCTCTGTTCCTCTCTGTCTCTCTCAAAACAATAAGTATATAAAAATTAAAGCTTTAGCCAGTTTGGCTCAGTGGATAGAGCGTCGGCCTGCAGACCGCAGGGTCCCCGGTTTGATTCCAGTCAAGGGCACATACCTCGGTTGCAGGCTCCTCCCTGGCCCTGGCCCTGATCGGGGCTCATGCAGGCAGCAACCAATCGATGTGTTTCTCTCACATCGATGTTTCTCTCTCTCTTTCCTTCTCCCTACCACTCTCCCTAAAAATCAATGGAAATAAATATCCTTGGGTGAGGATTAAAAAAAAAAATTAAAATTAAAATATCCCTGGCTGGTGTGGCTCAATTGGTTGGGCTTCCTCCTGTGCACCAAAAGGTCAGGGCACATGTCCAGTTTTGGGCTTGATCCCCGGTAGGGGGTGTGCAGGAGGCAGCCAATTGATGTTTTGCTATCACATCAATGTTTCTCTCTCTCTCTCTCTCTCTCTCTCACTAAAAAACTATAAAAAACGAAACATGGACAAAGGCTATAGAAAGTCATATAAACATATAAATAGCCAATAAATTTAGAAAAATATGCTCAACTTAAAGAATAGTTAGAGAAATGAAAATAAAAACTAAGAGACATCACTTCTACCCACTACACTGGCAAGATTTAAAGATTGGTAACTTTGGCAGAAGTACCGGGAACTATGTACTCTCACGCACTGTTGGTGGAAGTATGAATTTTTATAACCTTTTGAGAAGGAACTGGATATTAATCTTGAACATTAAAAACATGCATATCTTATGATCCAACAAATTCCACTTTGGGGTATGTGTCCTGCATAAATAAAATCACCAATAGATTAAGATTTATGTATAAATTTTTTTATAGTATTGTTTGTAGTGTCAAAACCTAGAAACAGGTTCAATGTCCATCAATATAAGAAAGGTGGAATAACATACAGTACATTTACTAGGTGGCATGCAGTTACTGGAAACAGAGTCCATATTAGAATGTAAGCTCCACAGGAGTAGGAGCCTTGTCTTTCTTACTAACTGCTATATTCCCAGGGTCTAGAGTGG